CCCCCTGTGCCCCCCATGTGTCAGATGTGGGGCAGGGCCTGCAGGCTCTGCCGGCAGTCGATGGCGCCGCGGTCGGGGCCGGTGAAGGTGAGGGGCAGCCCCCCCAGGAAGCGGCGGCGCTCGGGGGGCTCCAGCCCCAGAGCAGGGCCCAGCTGGGCCGTCGGCAGCGCCGGGCGGTAGCTGGGGAGAGAAGGAGGTCAGGGGGGCAGGGGCGGCCCGGGGGGGCACACGGGGGGAGCCCCCCCAGGCACCCACAGCCCCACGGCGAGGGGAGACCCCCACGGAGGGGGGGGGACCCAGGGAAGGGGCTCGGCCCCATAGAGGGGGGGGGTGACCCCAGGGAAGGGGCTCGGCCCCATAAATGGGGGCTCAGCCCCACAGGGGCCATAAGTGTGAGGGGTGACCTCATTAACGGGGGGGGCACAGCCCCATAAGTGGGGGCTCAGCCCCATTTGGGAGGTCACAGCCCCATTAAGGGGGGACACGGCACCAGAGGGGAACAGGGGGGCTCAGCCCCACTGGGGGAGATGTAACCCCATGGGGGGCAAAGTGGGGGCTCAGCCCCAAAAGGGGGGGCTCAGCCCCATGGAGGGGAGTCACAGCCCCAGCTGGGGGTCAGAGGGACCCCCCCACCCCAATGTGGGGCAGAAATGGGGGGTTCACCCACCCCAATGTGGGGCACAACAGGGCGGGTTCCACCCCCCAAACCAAACGTGGGGTCCCAGCCCCCCTGTGGGACAGAAATGGGGGCTCCCCCCTGGGGGGGCCACTCACGTCCCACCCCCTGCACTCACCTGTGTGGCCACGGGGGGCTCCACCTCCTCTCCCCCCTCCTCATTTTGGGGTGTTTTCCCCCCGGTTTTGGGGTGTTTTCCCCTCAGTTCCAGGGGCGTTCCCCCCTCACTTTCGGGGTGTTTCCCCTCCAATCTCATCCTTCCCCCCCCAATTCCCGCCCGTTCCCCCCCGACCCCGCGGCCCCCCGGCCCCACCTACGCCTTGATCATGGCCCTGAGGGCGGCCCGGCGCTCCCGCTCGGCGAACAGGTCGATGAGTCTCCCGCCCATGGCCGGGGCCGCCCCGTGCAGGCGGAAGAAGCGGCTCCAGAGCCCCAAGGCCCAGGCGGCGCGGAGGGACAGGGCGTGGGACACACAGGGGTCTGTCCTGAGGCTGGGGGGCAGCAGGGCCAGCTCCGTGGTCAGCTCTGGGGGGCACAGAAACAGGGGTCAGCTCTGGGGGGACAGGGCGTGGGACACACACGGGTCT